AGAAAAAGAAAATTAAAATTGAAAGCACCCAGAGTGAGTCACTAATCATGAGACAACATAATATCTTCTGAAGGTCGATCCTGTAGTAGTATATTGAACAGCTGCTACTTATCAGACTTCAAAATAGGCCAAAAACTCCCAGTTTGCCCTAAACACACGAACACGGGTCGGGAAAGCGATCGAAAGGACCCTTTCTATCATATTGTGACAGGAACGGCAACCAGGAGGGTGACGTCACGCTTCTGATTTCAAGCTGTGCGTCACTGGCGCCTTAGGAGTATTTCGCTTCATTTATACACTCTGTTGCAAAACTATACGACATACCCCAAATTTTGGGTTTCTGGAGTTGAGAGAATAGCCGCAAAATGGCTTAATGCCATTCGATTCAGCGTGTAAAGAAACCTACAAAAAGAATCTTCAAGCAGTTTTGTCAAATTCCAGAAATCTAGGGTCAAAAATTGAAAAAATGGCCGTTGCAAAACTATACGACATAGCAGAAATTTCGACAATTTTTTTACTTCACTAAAATTTTTCCACAACACTCCACAGTCATAACAGTGCAGTGTTGTAGATAATGTAGTCCACGGATTGAACCGTGTGGCGCTCTCGCCTTGAAAAGTCGATTTACCATGATTTCTACCAATGTTTGGAATCTGTGCGTAATCTTTGAATAGAGCTTTCGCAGGCGATGCACGGAATTGTACCGATTGCTGCAGGAATAAAGACTACGGTCAAGGATGCCCTATAGGTTTTCCACCGGATTTAGACTGGCTAAGAAGTGGACCATCTGAGTAATCTACATGGTAGGCTTCAAAGCAAGTGGAAGTCGACTCAATAACATGGATAAGCGTTGAACTGCTGAAAAATATGCAGATGACGACGATTTTGCATCGTAGACCGTAGACGGTGATGTTAAAGCACATCATGGTATTCGGTGAATCTTTCAGCTTGTCGTACAGATTGCACTTCTTGGTTATGACCTGAAGGAGGAAGAACTTGTTTGGTATCTCATATTACAGGTAGTTCAGTTCTTTTCGGCGGGAAGATGTTCCTCCTGTCCGTCTGGTGAATGGCACCAGTACGAAAGTGATTCGCAGATATCGATCTTCTTCTCGAAGAGGAGCTTGGTAATGATACTGCACAGCCTATAGCTGGTGTGGCAAGCTGGACGTTGTCTTCACGATTCAAGGAATGAACTCCACGGACTAGCAGAAATTGCTCATTCATCGCCAGCTACCGTATAAGACACAAAATCGTCATCACCGGAATATCTTCCAGCAGTAAACGTGTTACCCACATTATTAAGTGGACTTCGATTTGCTCTGCAACCGACCATTTAGATTTACTCGAATGGTCCACTTCTTGGTGGTGGTCAGGTCTAAATCTGGTGGAAAACCTTTAGGGCATCCTTGATCGTAGTCTTTATTCCTAGAGCAATCGGTACAATTCCGTGCATCGCCTGCAAAAAGCGCTATTCAAAGATTACGCACGGATCCTGGAAGAATCACAAACATTGGTAGAAAACATGGTAGATCGGCTCCTCAAGGTGAGAGCACACGGTTGACCTCTGGACTGAATTGCCTACAACACTGCCCTGTTATGACTGTTGAGTGTTGTGGGTTTTACTGAAGTAAAAAAATTGTCGAAATTTCTGCTATGTCGTATGCAACGGCCATTTTTTCGAAGTTTTGATCCTAGATTTCTGGAATTGACAAATCTGCTTGAAATTCTCAGCGTAGGTTTCTTTACACGCTGAATCGAATGGCATTAGCCATTTTTGCGCTATTTCTCGCAACTTCAGAAACCCAAAATTTGGGGTATGTCGTATAGTTTTGCAACGGAGTGTATAGAGTTCAAACTCTATATAAAGCTGTTCCAGTGCTTTTAAAACCGGAGAAGAGCATTTTTAGCTCACTCTATGATTACTTTCGTTGTTTCTGTCATTGGGACGAACAAAGGTAGCGATTACAATAGTCGTGACACTGAGAACCCTTGCATTTGAGTCTGTACGGCCATAAAGTCATCTCGAAAGGTTTCACTTAGCACTACTTCTCTTTCCTCTTCTCTTCATGGCATATTTTCCTCCCACAACTCGTTGGCGGCAAGGCGGTTGTTTCTATCGCGGGCCGTGTCCTCTTTCACTTGGGAAAAATGCGTCATGTTACTTGGATGAATTCAGATAAATGCCAGTAGAAACACAACGATGTATGGATTCTTGGGCGTGCTTTTTGCGAGGAGCTTTCCTGTTCAGGGCAAGCAATCGTGAACGTATAGCATCGCAAATCTTATCGCTACACAGTGTGTCTCTCCTTGAGCGTTTCGGAGCACTATGGTAACGTGCTACGGAAAATGACTGCTTTACCTTAAGCACCACAGTAACGCTCGTTGATCACTTCATCGAGATCCAGTCAAAGCGCTAGCAGTTCAGGACAAGAGCCCAACTATGCTCCATTCTACCCTACTTTGGTGTGCGTACGATAGCGAGCAGGGCTAACATTGGTTAACTTGTAAAGCGAAAATGAGCGACAAGCCCTACTCCTATTTCCGTAGCGTTCCGGATTGCCTCCTAAAGAGATTGATTCAATTTGCAAATCTCCTTCTCAACCCTCTGCTCGCATCAGCTGCCTGTGAATCTTTTTTTGGGTCTTTCTTTGCACTAGCGAATGCATGGGAAGTACCACATCGATCAAATGTATGTAAATTTTCGTATCCCAATTTT